AAGCAGAAGAAGCGGAAGAGTATACTAGGAAAGATCATTAGTCAGTTAAAGTAACTAATCTATAGGGGTCTTGCATTGGTCTTGTCGATCCTCTGTTTCCTGTTGTAATCTAGACTCTAATTTCTCTCCGAAAGCCCCTCCTCTAAGAGAAGACGTCTATTCGTAAAAATTGCTTATTAATCAGCGAAGATAAGTCTCATCCATACTTCGGTGTCAAATCGTACGAAGCCTGCTAGTGGCAGACAACGTGGACACTGCGATGGTAGCAGTTAGCCTTTGAAGAGTCGAGTTCCAAGGTGTCACGCGCCAAAGAAATAGAGTACCGAGTTCGTTAGCCAGAAACGGCAGAATGCTAGACATCACTGTCAAAACTCTGAACTCGCCCCCACTAGGCTGCGTCATAGTGGGCCTGAGACGACTTTTCCTCGGAAAGTCGAATCGACTGAAAATCTTGTGAATTGTCAACACTTCGAAAGAAAAATATTGAATTTTTGTTGCTGAGCGGTCCTTTGGTCTTTCCGTTGCGATCGCAAAAACACGAACTCGGATAGGATACTCCGAGTGACCCAGGTATGTACGTCGTACGTCGCTTGAACTCCACCACCACTATCATCCGGGCCAGCAATGGTTCATAGGGCCCAGGACTCGAGGTTACTCACTCAATTGCTCAAGTCTGACAAAGAATACTCGTATGCACTCAATGGGCTGCTCACTACATCGCAAAGTTCCCTGGCGGCACTGAATGCCTATGCGTCAAGCTGCCCACCTACGCACGCGCAGCCCCTGCTTGGAGTCGTTACGGCTTTATCTGCTGCGGAAGATGCTTTCAAGGCGTATGTCATGGCGGTTGACGCGTGGAGGGCCGACCTCAAGCGAGTTCGACGTGCTGAGGAGGTCGTCGCAAATGTCCTTAGAGACAGGGAGATTTTGTAGGTCTTTTGGCTCGCTAAGGCATATGGATGGATTGCTGATGCGTGTTATCTATACAGGATTGGCAAACTCATCAAGGTTTCGAATAAGAAGTCGACGCGTGATTCTGTAGGGCTCGCCACTCCATTTGCAAACGACCCAACATTGGCGCTAAATCCAGCAGCGATCAATGGAAGTGCAAGCAATGTGACACTGACGAGTGGAAACGCAAAGCTGAACCACGCCCAAGCTGAATTACAAGCATGCGAAGCGCATCTCGCCTTAAAGGAGAAAGAATTGGAGACCACACGAGAAGAAGCTATCAAACGAGGATTAGAACGTCGGTGCAAGGCCCTCGTTACATGTGGGTGGGCTTGGGGAGAAAGAGGCAAGCAAGCGTTGCGAGCGCTCGACAGTCTGGCAAATGAACATTCAAATGGTACGTATCGGTTTCACTTGGATTGCATATTCTAGGACTTCTGGAGCCTTTGTGTTGACAATACCCTCTTCTCTGGTTCTTTGCGGGTGCAATACGTGCTCACTTGGCTTATGCTTTGTACGCTATTCTGTCACTCAACGTACTGACCCTTTTTGTGACATTTTTGGCGCTTTGTAGAACACGAAAAATCGGCACCACGCTCCTCTGAACACAATGACTCGCAACTCTCGTCTGTTACCCCTTCACAATCTGCATCGCAAATTGCAGGCATCGTAACCTCCGACGAATCACCTGCAAGGTCTAGCATGTCGAAACCGATACCAATACCCTCTTCTCCTCTTCACGCACGGCAGCATTCTGTCGCAATGCCAGAGCCCGAACCAGAGTTCAAGCTCTCCATTCGACCCGCACACAGTATAGACGACCACGACCACATACACGACTCGATTCCCTCTAGTAAACCAGTAGACTCTTCAAGACGGAAATCGAGACGTGATGGTGATAGCAGCGAAGAAGATTTGTCCAAGGGTGTTTTACAAGTTCACGAGAACGATCCGTTTGGGAAGAGGGCATCGAGTGGTTTCCGATCCGAGCATGCCTCTAGCAAGCTCTCCAATGTCACTCACTCGAGAACACTCCGAAGACCAGATTCTAAAAAGTATGAATCACCGAAGATTGGGTTTCCGCTTGTTGATCCTGAAGGGTCTCAACGTAAGGCCAAGCACTCTTCAGATCTTGGCCCGCGGACCAATTTCCCTTCGTCGTCACCTCAAGAAGAAAAGTTCAACCCACAGCCATTGCATCGTAAACGATCGACGTCTTTCTCGTTGATGGGAGGAATTTCTGGCCTCTTCAAAGGAAAGAAACGATCATCTAGTATAGAGAGAAGTTATCCCCTCCCGACAAACACTGGCGGATGGCATACTAGAACAGACAAGAATCTCTTGTCGTCGAGAAGAGGAAGGACGAGTTCTTCGGAAGAAGAGCTCCCCTCTACCTTGATCAGGAAGGCGAAACAATCTGAGCAAGCACCTATCGCCGACAATTCGAGCATCAATAGCGAGACGAGAAAGCTTACCAAGAGAACTTCCACGGGCGCTTCTCGCTTCCGAAGGTCGAGCATCAGAGACAATGACCCTCCGTCCAAATATAAGATTGTCGAGCAACCAGTCAATGCCTCCTTGGTGAGAAGCGAATCATTCTCTTCAAAGAAGTCGGACAAGATTTCTACGGAGAGTTCAAGAGAGACGGCAAGAGAAACAGCTGCCAACACAGCTATGAATGCTGGGACCACTCGACGGTCATCAATGCCACCAGAACGAACGAATTCAGAGATAAGAGGCCGTGCCGAACCCACATCTAGCCGTCATCAAAGTGTGGATGGAGCGAAGAGTTTGGAGGGGCCGAGATCAGAACTAGCCAAACTCAACGAGAGGCTAAAAAAACTGGAAGAAGTCGAGAGCGAGCTGAGAAAGATACAAAGCAGTCCTATGCCCGTTCTCTCTGCGGACAAGTTGGAGGTAGTGAAGGCCCCCCCTAGTATCATCCAGGCTCCGCTCTTATTCCATGCTACCCCTGCCACGTCCTTTGGTGGTGAGCCAGCAACATCTCCCCGAGTATCGACCCTCAAATCAGCTACATCTCCACCTGGATCTCCGGGTAAAACGCCTAACCGTTTGAGCTCCAGCAGTGCTGGTGGACTGCCTACATCGCCTACTGGAGGTGCCAATCTGAAGGCGAGGTCCTCTGTATCGTCAAGGGACAGTGTACCGCTGAAGTCCGCCCTCAAATCACCAAAGCAGCAAACATTCTCACCTTTACC